TAGTTGATATTTCCTTGCTTGTTTGTTTGATCTGGATTACGTTGGGAATTTTTTTTTCCTCATTTTTGAAGAAAATGTTTTCCTTCTGATTCTTGTTCTTTCTTGATACTGTTTTGTTATTTTACTTTATTCTTTAAGGTTTACCCCCCTTTGACCCTCTCCCTATTTTAGCTCTTTTATTTTTTTATTTTACCCTCTGTCCCTTTTTCTTCTCTCTTCCTCATTTTCTTACCTTCTTGCCTTCCCCTTTCTCCTCCCCTTCAGTCAGTCTAGCCAGGACACAGTAATGTAGCTACATCTCTAACCCTAGCAGTCCTTCTCTTACTTTCCCAGCCTTTTTCTTCTCAGACCCTACAAAGTCTTGGAAAGACAGAAGAAGGCACAGGTTACCTTTCATACACAACTGTGGAACATCTGAATCCATGTCAGATCTCACTGGACTTAGTATTTGGGGATGTCATTTTGAATAATATGACTATGGTTTAAATTTCTGACCTGAGATATTTCTGCCAAGAGTGATTAGTGAGAGCAGGAGCATTTGAAACAGAATTGCATGATGGGTTGGTGCTGAACTGGAGATGGTTGTAGAGAAGAGACACGCTGTTATGTATAAAAAGGATTCTCTAGAGGACCAGAAAAAGTAGTATACAAGAAGGCAAAATTCTGCTATCTTTTCTCAGTAAATACCACCTATCTCCTATTATTTTTCCTTTCTTCTTTTTCTCCCTCTCTTACTCCATCTGTTCCCCCAAATCCAACCATATATTTCATTTTCTCAATTTGGTGACTGTTAGCATATTATATTTTGTTAGAAGGTGAACTAAATAAATACATATAAGGGTTTGTTTGTGGGCTGTAATGGTTGAAAAGAGGAGCTCACTGGAATAGGAAAACAACTACTTTATTTCCTTGAAAATAAGACCTAAACAGAAAAGAAGTCCCAGCTTGACTTTTAAGGATGCTCATTCTATAAGCTCTACCCCCAAATAAGCCCCAGTTAAGATCGTCATCCAGACCAATGCATTTAGTACCTGTTGCAATGCATGATGGACAGACTGAATTATTATATAATATTATTAAAATGGAATTAAATCTAAATATATATTATTGACACTGATACTTAAAACAAATGATAATGTAAATTATAATTAAGTATTTGTAAATACCCAAACGGGTGCCTTTGGACAAGAGGTAAAGTTCTATGTAAATAGATGAACTCAAGACTTAATGCCAAACGACCAGTGTGAACACAGACACAATGCAGGAATAATGTGAACACTTGAAAATGCATGGACACGGTTGTGTCTCAAAGGAACCTTCGCAATTCAATATGTCATATATTGTAGGAAGCATACTTGGTGTGCTTATGTGAAATAAATGTTTTCTGAATTTCGGTATCTGAGATTTTCATCACTTTTGTGTGGACCATCATTTTAACTGCCACCATTCTTGTTGACACTCCTATCTCGTAAGTCTTCAATTAACGCTCAATTTCATGGAAACCTTATGAAGCCCAGCCAGCAAGAGGTCATGACTTGGGTGAAGAATTCATGGGACAGAACTGCTGGCAGCTGTGTTGCCAATGCACCATGAGCAGGCTACAGTGGCAAGAAGTGCTCGTCTATGGAGCACTGTGCTGCTGGATGTGAGAGACAGGGGCCAGTGCTTCTACAGAAAATGGATTTTCAGGAAATTCAGCCTGGGATTTGGGGTTTGAGGAGTTATGGTGATATTCCAGAAAATGGTCACGTGACTATTTGAATAAATGCAGATTTTTGTACATGAAAAAAATTAGGTTGTTGTACATAACAAAATAAGACATCCCCTGAAAATAAGCTCTACTGCATCTTTTGGAGCAAAAATTAATTTAAGATGTGGTCTTATTTTTAGAGAAATACAATAATAGGCCATTAATTAGCGGATTAGTAAAAGCAAAAGCAGGGGTCATAAATCTATCCTTGAGCCTTGAGAAGACAGAGAAATGCACTAAGAATTGACATAAGAATCAGGGTCTGTAGCTAAGTGAAAGACTATTCTTAGGGGTCAGGAAAGCTAATATAGAAGGAAAATGAGTTTCAACCATTATTTTAAGTGTAGCTTCATTGCTCAGAAAATTCAGTCTCCAACAGAGTAAAATTGCCAAAATATTTTAAAAAGATATTATCAGAGCAAAACTGATTCTCTCACCATATGCCATCCCACTGATTTATAGTGGCTAACCTACATTTTAGATGGAATGTTTCTTTCTTAAAATTTATCAGATGCTCTAATAGTTAAAATATCCCACCATTACTAAAGACAAAGTGAAGAGAAACTATTCTGAAACTAATTTATGTAGCACAGCTATTTGTATTCTTGAACTAGGGCCCAGATTTTCTTTTATCTGCTCCCCACTATTAATACTGCTGAAGTAATAGAAGACATTTACTGGGAAAACACTGAGATAATGTCACAATTTCCTAGGAATTCAGATTCCCCAGCTTAAGTCACAATAGCATTCTTTGTAAACATCTAGTTAGAAAATAAGTGGTTTAATATACTAAATAGAGCCTTTTTCCTTGGTAGTTCACTTTTTTCTTTGTATACTCCATGACGTTACTAGAAATCTGTGTTCATAACCCTATTCCATTTCCCCTGGGAAAGTAATAACTATTGTACTTGTGCATTTGATCAAAACTTAAAGAGGTCCTTCTGTTACCGAGAAGTATTTCTATCACAAAATGTGGGGCCGGCGATTTAGCTCAGTGGTTCTGCCACCTGCCTCACAGGCACAAAGACCTGAGTTCAATCCCCGATGCCAAAAAAAAAAAAAAAAATCAAAAAACAAAATGTGAATATAGGGTGATTACTGTAAGTTTGTTTTATGACTTGTGAAAATTATACTTATGTCTTGATTCTAGGCTGCCTTTTTTTCCCTGCCAAACTAGTAGTTAAGCTATATGCTGTTGCTATAAACTAATGTAATGTAGATTATAATATTTGTCAATGAGAGTAACTTAAGAAGAAAAGTTTAAGATTATTTACTGACAAATATTTTGAAATAGACCATATATCAGCTTTCTTTTAATTAATAAAATCACATAAGATTATTTTCAAATTTACTTGAAAAAATTGGCAGCTATTAGAGTTTTAAAAATGAATACTACATTTAGATGCATGGTTTATATATTCATTTAAATAGAAGTTATGATTTTTGTAAGGAAAATGGTCTTATAAAAGTTTTAAATATGAATACAAAATTTTATGATGCTAGAAACAATATAATAAGGTAATAACTTTAAAAAATAATCATTACAAAAACATGTTTAACCTTCAAAACAGATTTCTCATTCTTACTTTTCTCCTTAACTAGGTTGTAGTTGAGCTTTTTGCTTAGGCAAAAGTAAATTTCACAAGTGAGACAAAGTTTCCCAATGATTTATATTTGTTTCAAAATAACATAGGTCTCTGTGTGGACAAAATTAATTTATAAACTTTCATGAATTCATTTACTGCTTGAAAATGTCCTATATCACTCAAGTCAAAGTTATATTCAAGCACTAAAGATTTCACATTACATATGAAATCCATAATAACTAAAATGTATAAAATTTATTTATATACCTTCATCTGTATTAAGAAAACAGAATTCTACAGTAGGATATATTCCTCATGGTTCCATGTTTTATAATTTAAATACAGAATTCAAATAAATCTACTTAATGTGTTAAGGTCTGAGACTTAAACTTTTGGCAGTATAATTTAGCTTTCAGAATCAGAAATAATCTCAAAGTTCTTTAAAACGTAAGAAGAGCTGGGGATTTAGCTCAGCGGTTTGGTGGCCTGCCTTGCAAGCGCAAGGACCAGAATTCAATCCCCGGTACCAAAAAAAAAAAAAAGGAAGAAACAATGATTTTGGTGTCACACAAAGCTATGTGTTTTGCATTTAACATGAGTACCAACATGACAGTGCTCGTGTTCAAATTTTCAGCTAATGCTTTCATTTTCCTATACTCCAGATAACTTCTGCTCTACTTTATAGGTCTTACTTTAAAGAAAAGACAATTATTTTAAAAACCTCATCTGCCTAACTGCTACATATGCTCTAAAAATTAGACAAGTGGGCAGAACGGTAGCAGTGCTGTTTAACAAAGAAAAAGGAAACATAAAAGTTAAAAGAGCAGAAAGAAGTTAAAATCTCAGCAGAAAAGAGCTGAGATTGTGCTATACTTGATGTAACTTTTATGTTTCCTCTTATACTATACTTCCAGCCTTGGACCTCTGTAAGGTTCCGCAGAACCATCCTCTGTCCCAACAGAAACATACTGTATGATGTTGGCTTAACCTGCAATGGTAACATACAGAAATATTACTGGACCGGATGAATATAAGTAGTGTCTTTTCTTCAAACCTCATTTTCTTCATCCATAGCAAACACTCCATATTCTTAAGTGTAGAACTTTGTGTTTAGACATTTCTAAATTGCTATAATGTACGATAGCTAAAGATGTTTCAAGAATATTATGCATTATACCCATTCGTAAAACTATTTAAAGTAGTTTAAAGTATTAATCATGTAGCATAATCATAATAATAGTTATTTTACCAAGGCGCTTAAACATAAATGACCAATTTTAGAATAGATGAATACAGGAAGCTTGATGGAGAGCTCTGCATGCTATCTAAATACTGTATTTTCTGTGAGAAGAGATAATCTAACATCTAAGGCAATCTAGGTATTCTGTGAAATAGTTTGCTATTTCTTAAGCCTACCTTCAGGAGTTTTTAGTATTCATTATGTCTAGTCAGATATGAAAATGAAAATAAGTGGTATTGTTCCAGAGACTATTAAAATCATGGCAGTAACAAAACTTTTTGGGACAATCCAATTTTAGTTTGTCTAATAGCTTCTCTCAGTGACAATACCCTTAAAGATATTACCCTTAAAGAAGAGCCTAAAGAATCAAAATAATTCAAGAGCAAAAGGATATTCTTTCTTGTAACATAGAACAAATACTTACCTTTGTGGAATATAGAACATATGCTGAGGAGGAGGTTTATAAAGGACTCCTTCATACACAGGCCACAGCCCACTTAAAATTCTGAAGAGAGAGCTCTTTCCACATCCATTGGGACCAGTTATCAAAAGATGCATTCCTTCTTGTACCTAACATAAAAAAATTATAGACTGCAATATTTTAAGATAATTTCATTTGGCAGCATGCAAAAGTGATTCATTTAAAAAAATTTAATCACATGATCACCTTGGATAAACAAGAAATCAACAAAAAATATACAGTACGAGGATTGTGTAGATCAAGTTTGGCTTTGGCAACTCTCTAAGGCTAAAAGCATCATAAAATAATTTAATTACAAAGGAAATGGATCTTTCTGGAATAAGCACTGGCTTTACAACATTTTATTGAGGTATTACGATCAGATATACATGCATATATATATATATACATATATGTACACACATATATAGAAAAATACAACCACATAACAAGAAATCATAAAATCTAAATTATTTATATTAATATTTGGCTACATGTACAGTGGCTTAAACTACAGCTGAAAGTCAGTTATGCTAAAAACAAAAACATTCAGTGATGCTATATGCTATAAAGAACAGTTATCTGAAGAGCCAGCTGAGTGGCTTTATTTTGTACTTCAGCCGTCTTGAAATGGCACCAAAATCACAAAAACCTATAATCAATGAGACAAGGTGGCCCTAATTCTGCTTTCTCCACAGATGTAGAAAATGTGTTTAGAAAGCTGACAGAGGCAAGCAAGAAGCGCAATTTAGTCTGGTGCCTAGGGATGAATTAAGACATATTATTGGCCATCCATATGTACATGTTCTGCTTCTAAAGATTCAAACATCTGCGAAGTAAAAATATTTGAGGCAAAATTGCATTTGTACTGAACACGTTCTGATTTCTTTCTGTACACCATTGCAATTAAAGGACTTCAGCATCAGCAGATTCTGGCATCTGCAGTTGGTTCTGAAACTATCCCTCAAAGACACTGAGGGAAAGCTGTATAAGTGAAGAATACATTTATCAATATACATAAATATTCCATATATGTAGTATTCATCCATAAAACAGAAGTTATGTACTATCTACTGGTGACTTCCTTTTATCTTCTATTTATTTGTGATTTAGACAGTTAAGTTTTGTGAGTTCACATTCCATTCAGAAGGAAAGAAGAGTTGTCTTACTACAGTATTTAAAGGGTAGTACGAAGAACGAAGAAAAGGGGCAGCAATAAAATTTTCATTTGCAGGGCCAGGGATTTAGCTCAGCGGTTCGGTGGCCTACCTCGCAAGCACAAGGACCCAAGTTCGATCCCCAGTACCAAAAAAAAAAAAAAAAAAAAATTTCATTTGTATCTCCTAAGAAATGTTTTATAATAAGTAAATGATATGAAAATGAATATATTTTGCAAGCACAAGAGACAGAAATTCACAGGATAACTATAGATGTAACTTCGTATTGAATGGATACAAATATCAAGTGTCAGTGATGTAGAACACATGATATTGAAACTTCTAAGATGAAAAAATGTTATATTGCTAGTATCCTCCAAAATTCTGGGACAAACCTGGAAAAAATTAACTTTGTGATTTGTTTGTGCTTTTTCACTAGAGAAGATTAAAGAAGTTTAAATTTGTAGAAGCATAAATACTTTCAAATAATTTTTTTTAAAGGTATCTGTGACAGTAAGAAGCACATTTACAAAACTATGTTGATAGGGTCATTTTCTATTAGGAATTCATGGAAATTTAACACTTTTTCAGTGGGAATTAAAGGCCTTTTGTATCAATATTTTCCAGCATAAATTCTCTACATTGTCTACAAACAATGAGTTCCAGACAAAAATAATTCCCACACTTACTGAATTTTCTTCTGCAAATTATATTTCTCATTTTGAAGGCCAACAAAGGGATGACATCTTTTCTTCTAAAAACTTACTTATTTTTAAATCATTGAAACAAAATTTTCCTTTCATGTTGTAGGGATCCAAGAACTAAAATATAACTTTCTAAGTCAGAAATAATTACCAAGAAGTGTACTATAATAATGTTTATTTTTATAGGACTTCAAAATTTATAAGATTTAAGATTAGCATTAATCTTAAGACTTAAGATTAAGTATTTTTAGTTCATTTTATATAAAAGAAACAGAGCTCTGGACTTTTCCACACACAGAGTGTGATGCATGATCCTTTCTGGCTCACAGATGGAATGACCAGGTAGTTCAGTCCCTTGTGTGACATTGCTTTGCTTCTCTAAACTTAGACGTGGCCTCAACACATTACCTGCCTGATGTGGGGTGGGAGAAGAACAAGAGAAACAAAAACAAACAAAGGGACAGGAAAAAAAGAATATGCTTTTAATTCTTTTGGGAAAATACCCGGCAGGAGTTAGCTGGGTCAAATGGGACCTCTAAATCCTAAAACAATCATACCACAGCAATATACGTGCACCCATGTTTAGAGTGGCACAGTTTGTAATAGCTAAAGCTTGGAAACAGCCCAATTGCCCATCAACTGGAGACTGGATAAAAAAGATGTGGCTTTTTAAAAATAAAATGGAGTACTACTAAGCCATAAAGAATGAGAAACTAGAGACATTTATAGCTAAATGTATGTACATTGAGGCCATACTCCTAAGTGAAATAAATAGGACACATATGTGTAAATAAGGAATAGTTTCTCTGGTGTGAGAAAGTGAAACTGAAAGGGTAAATAAGGATCAAAATGTATAACAGATAATGTGAAATAGGAAGAAAAGGTCCAGGAGGGGTAGAGGAAGGGGAAGAGGGGAAAGGAATAAATATGACATAAGGAAAAAAATGGAAATAAAGTCTTTGTAAATAGGGATGGGTGCAGGGGTTTTGAAGAGAGGGCAGGGGAATGGGGGGAAAAAATAAGAACCAAGATATATCATGCAAAGGTACAAATTCCTAGTGATGAATGTCACCATATTGTATACCTAAAATGTACCAATAAACTTTAAAAAAAAAGGGTATGCTGATTTCACTCTATTTAAATAAAGCAACAAGAATAGATATTACTACACCTAATTAGACTAAAATGAAAAAACTATACAAAAGTCATAAATTACAAATTACTAAGCTATTAACGGATAAATCAATAGTGATGTGTGGCACGAGTACCTAGTTTTCTCTGGTTTAGTGCATCTCACCCTCTCTTCTCAACTTCCACAACCCATCTCATTTGTAAATAAATCCTTAAGAATTAAATCCAGAATAAGGTCCATTCTAAAATCATTAGTACATCAGTAAAATCATTAGTTTTAAATTTGATCATCAAGTTCAATCTTAGGACCTGTTTGAGTCAAGCTCAGCTGCCTTCATTAAAATGTATGAATTCTGCAATGTTTTAAATCAGGGCTTCGGGTTTTTCGTGAATATTTTACGTCTTAGTTTCGGTAATCAGGATGTGGGATATTAAATAATAAATTATTCTTTGTTTGTTTGGTGTTTTGGGACAGGGTCTCACTATGTAGTGTAGACTGAACTAGAACTCACTATGTAACCCAGGCTGGTCTTGAACTCACAGCAATCCTCCTGCCTCAGCCTTCCGAGTTGTGGAATTACAGGCGTGCACCACCACTCCTGGCAACAAATTATTCTTAACAAAATTAAAAACTAAATTTGAATCCATGAATCTTATGATCATTCTAGTAGTAAATGTGATTATTTAAGAAGGAATTAAAGTTAGAGAAAGTATAGTACCAAAATTAAACTTGACTTTTACCTTCATATTTTAATAAGGATATTATAGTATAGTCTGAAATTTTTAGCAATTTCTATAAATAAAATTTCAAATTTACTTCCATATGCTAGTTTCTTACTGCTCCCGAAGTTACCTTGCATGGGCTCAGTGCACTGTCATTTTTATTTTCAACCTGGCAATAAAGCAGTAGAAGTCAAATTTCTCTGCTTTCTGGGGAAGTAACTGCCTCTGCAATTGAGCCACTGTGCATACCTTTCTTGTATTCCCCTCCTTCCATGTGGTCCTCCAAGTATTTAACTTAAGGGACATGAATTCTGAAGTTGTTTTGTATTAGTGTGATGGCAATAATCAGAAGGGTCTCGAATATCATCTTACTTTGAAGTTTAGCCTGGATGCCACCACTTCTCCTGCTGGTGTGATTATGGGAACATTTTCACAAATAATTCCATGGTCCACATCAATAACTTTTCCTATAATTAAGAAATAAATTCAGTTGCAAAAAGTTATCCCACGTTATTGCTAATTCAATAAAGTTAAGTACAGCATAGTGAGTAAACTCAGTTGTAAGGGTAATTCATAGTAAGAAACAAAAATAAAAATATGAAAATCTATATATGAAGCAATGCTTAGTGTAAACTTGTATATTTTGACACCTGTTTAGAAAATCTTTCTCAGAATCATGATTTTATCATAATTTAATGTCAATATCATTGTGATTGCACAGCTAAATTTCATTTGCTATACTCCTGCCATCCATTTTACAACTACTCTGCTTCCTTAAATTAACCCTTTCCTATAGAAAAAAATACAATGCTGCACAAAAGAGCATTAAGAAGTGGAATAATACATTTTAAAACATGATGATAAAACACTCTTAAAACATAGGTTAATAAAAAACAATATGACATTGGCTATAATTCTGTTAGCTGAATTTTAAAAGCAAATAATTCATTTTACCATATGCATTGCTCCTGAATATGGCTCTGGAATTTTTTTTCCAAATATAATGTTGCTTTTTTAGGATGATGTTTGTTGTTAGTCATCACCCCCTCATATTGCAGTACTAATTCTAGGGACTTTAACAAAACTTTTGTTAAAAAGGATTTGGTTCTATTGATAAAATAACACTTAAACAGTTGAGTCTCATACCTTTAATTGCCAATGTGTCACTAAGGGATAATTCTATGTTAGCTCCATTCTTGCTATGGTTTTCAGGCTCTTCAATGTCAGGTGTTCTCTTATAAATGCCTCTTTTTACTTCATCAAAGACCCAAAACATATTGTACACTCGAGCAGTATAGCCTGCTAATTCAGTGATCTAAAATCAATACACAAAAAGAAAATAAAGTTAATGTATCCAAGACAGACTTTTAAATAAATGTGTAATAGTGTAAGCTTCTCGATTTAATGTTAAAGATTTTATTTTATTATACATGAGAAATACATAATACATAAAACCAATGACAGTAAATAGCTTACCAACAGAGTAAGGTAGCAAGCTGTCATTATGTTTGATTCGATTGTAAACACCTAAAAATTATTCATCCTAGTTATGGATGGATCAAAATGAAATGTGAACATTTTAGAATATTATTTATTCTTAAGAATCTTTTAGCCAAATTTCTGATTTGGCCCTTGCTCATGTGGCAAATTTCACTTCCAGAAAGCTAGAAGGTTTGCAGAAAATTCAATGAAATAACAATCCATTATACTTGGTGTCTTTTCTATTTAAAATTTTAAATTTTAAATTAAAGAAAAGCACTTTTTCTTTTCTTATGAAATGAATGTTTCTGAGCCAAACTCATTGTCAAATTTCCTGTTTGGCCAGAGAAATAACTGTGCTAGAGGATAGCGGTTTTGAAAGTGAGCTCAGTGAAAAGCTTCAAATCCTCCTGGTACAAATCCAGCTTCATTTCAAGCCAAATATGATTCATATTTCTAAGGAAAAATATTAAATATGTGGGCTTTTTTCCTAGGTAAGATTATAAAATAAATGGAGATAAGTCTCTGCCTCAGCCCATAAGGAGCCAGCTGTCCAATTTGAGTTAACATCCTGCTGTTTTTCCATTAAGAAAGCACCTTGTTATCAGGTATCATGAAAGGTGACTCACCTCATATCTAGACCACTTTTCTCAGTGAAAGAAAACCACAAAAACTGGGAAAATGGTATCAATAGACAAGGCATGTCACTAAATTATGTGTAACACATCAGTTATTCAAAGAGATAGAGAGAAGGAAAACCCACACTCTGCGTGGAAGGCAAAAAGAAAGTAAAGTAGCAAGAAAGTGTCATGTGTGATTGGTGAGATTTCAGCAGTGAAGGCTGGGTAAAGTTTGCTTAACTAACACTTAATGAATGCTTAATAAGTATTCTACATGCATTAACTTGCAACAACCCTGCACAGTTAGTACTGTCCTTATCCCCATTTGACAGATAAGAAAACAAAGACACAAGTTTAAAGAACTTGGCCAAGGTTACATAATGTGTACATGCTGAAACAAGAATGTAAATTTAGGCACCCTAACTTGAGCCCACAGACGAAAAACTATTTGTTTTTAAATTTAAAAACAAATATACTACATACAAGTATAATACATACAAATATATTACATGTACTACAGACAAGAAAAAGAAACAATGAAGAGTTTAGCAGCAACACAGGGGATGCTGTTCATCTCAGCAGCTTCTGGGAGAGAAAAGATATGTTCACAAAATGCCAAGTTTATCTGGTAATATACATTTTGCTTGATTTTCATATTATGTATTTTATTTTAATCAAACTGAAAAGAAATGCAAGTACCTCCTTATAGGAAGACATGATCCTTTCAATGGCATCGGCTCCAGAGGCCAATAAATTTCGAGCAGTGGTAAAGGCTTCTGTCCGTTCACTAACCATAGCCTGTTTCTGGCCATCCTCTAGATCTAAAAAAAAAAAAGTATGCCAAAACTATTAAGTTTTTCCAACTAACTAAATGTCTTATTTTATATACACTATGGCTAAAATAACCATTAATATTTCATTAGTGATAGCAACTTCCTAAAAATATACTGAATTACTAACCATATTTGTACCAGATTTTATTTGAAGTTTCCTTTTGTTTTATTATTTTTTAGAAGTTAGGGCAACTGAATCTATAGGAATCAAGACTATTTTCATTTGGCTTTCAACTCTCTGCCATTATTATTGCTGGACAATAAAATATTACAGATCTGGTCAGTAAATAATCCTGACATAAATACATAAGTAAACATTCATGGAGCCGTTCCTTTCATAAAAATGCAGAGGAGTTGGCCCTCATAATCCAGACTTTGTCTACCTTTCTCAAACATCCTTCGCCATATGGTTGTATTCCAAACATGCCATACTGTGCTAATCCTCTCATATTTGGGATTTCTTCTTCCTTTAATGTGCTTCTTTTTGTTGTTGTTGTTCTTATTGCCTAGCTCCTCCTCAAGCATTCACTTTTTAGTACAGATTTTCTGAAAATGCTTTTCTGTGTCTTCCAGTGAACTATAATTTCATTATGGGTCAAGACTGTGTCTTTTACTCTTTATTCCTGGCATTCACAAAGACTAGTTAGTACATACTAGTACTACTAAATATGTACTGAGTGGATAGATGGATGGACAGATGGAGGGATGGATGGGTCAATATCCTAACCTACAGTCAACAGAGAAGTACACTTAAGAGTCAGAAGTTCTGCTGCTTAGAGGAAAGTAGTTAGGTGACCTATCCACTCTCTACCTATTTTCTCATCCTTAAGTTGAGGAAAATAATATTACTATCTTAAACAACCCTGTCTCTCAGGGTTAAAGGTTAAAAAAAAAAGAAGTGTTATAGTCTAATATTTCACCCATAGTGTTCTAATGTTAGCTGTTATTATTGTCTCTAGTTTTTATTGCTATGATTTAATATCTGCTTGATTTTGGTCTTGTTCTTCAAAATTATTCTCTTCAGGTTGTTACTATAATCTCTGCATCACTTTGCATCTTTATTTGATGTTTCTATACTTTATCTCCAAAATACTCCAAATTAGATGTCACAAATTAATGAAGAAATTAGTAATGATGTTAGACTGCCATAGGCTCATTTTGACATATACTTCCCTCTGATTTACATCAAAAGCTCCCCCATAATGATGTAAATATATAACTTGTACTCTGCTATAATTTCCAAATATCTCCCTTTATTTGCTCATAGATATCTCAGCTGATTTTATTTATTTATTTATTTGTACCACAGATCGAACTCAGGTCCTGTGCTCACGAGGCAGGCGGTGGAACCACTGAGCTAAATCCCGGCCTTCTGCTGATTTTAAAAGACATCCACAGATACTGTAAGATAAAGCCACACAGCAGGTATTTACAGAATACATTGATATGCAAGAAATAAGGCAAAACATTATGGGACAAACGTGGATAAATATGATTTTCAGTCTCTCTTTTTAGGGAATTTATAGTTTGTTAAGAAAGTGAAGACAAGTTTTCAAACAACTATGCAAGGTAGCCTATAAGAGCTTGTGTCAGGTGGTTGGATGGGGCAAAAACTATTTCTTGATACAAGACATGGGACATACTTCATAGGGGAGTTCAGTTTGAAGGAAGCCTTCAAGACTGTATAAAATTTTAATGGATCACAAGTACCCGATAAGCAATGACACAGAGAAGAGAAATTCCAAGTGATGTCAATCGAATGAGTCTGATCAGGCTACAGAATGTGTTGGTGTTGGGCAGTGCTTTCACTGAGTATCAGAGCCACCATGAGTTCACGGGAACCTTTTACCAAAGTCCATTATACCCACTCCCAGCCCTACTATTAAACATTGCTCTAGAGAAATACCATTAGTTCTCATGTAGTTAGTTGGTTTCCTCAAAGAAAGGGAGAGAGTGGGGAAAAAAGGTACACTGGTATGAATACCAATATAAGTCAGGAGTAAAGACGTGATTAGATAGATAGACTGGGAACAGTATAAAGATATTCTCAAAATGTATTTAAATGTGTGATAGAATATAGATAGCAAACTACAAAATAGTGAATTGCTACATCAGCTAAAGCACTAAGAATAGTTTTGACTCATGGAGAATCTGGCTGATGATTTAAAATCTTATGAGATTTTATGAATTTGGGTTAAAAGGTGTTTGAACAGTAGCTTACACTGATAGGTTGTGTTAAGAAAATCTGTTTTCACAATTGTACTGCTCATTGATATGGAATGATAATTTTCATGTTGGTTTGGCAGACTAACACCTACTGGGCTTTCATAATTTTAGTAATAAAATAACAAATAGTTTCTCATAGTTTGCACATACTTTTCACTGTCCTAGCTGTTCTTTGGTGGGCAATATAAGGACAGTGTCAGTTACATTTTGTCATGCACATACCAACCAGCTGCCTGACCTCTGTGACAGATCCTTTAGTATCAGAGATATAAATCTTTAACCTCAAATATTCACATATTTTGTATCTTAGGCCAACACATTTATTTTCCTCACAAAAGGTTTTAACTATTTTGTAGTAAGTTCCTAGGTTAAGAATGCAATATGTAATATTGTTTGTTTTACTGCTACTTCTGAACTGAGAGTAATAAGTATTGAAAATTGGTCATTCTCTAGCTATTTCATTGAAAAGATAAGAAAGGATTTTAATGCTGTTTATATAATAACACATTTATCCAGACTCTTGTTATTGTAGAACATAAAGTGTGAACTGTAATATAAATTATGGATTTCAATTAATGATGTATAACATTGGTTCATTAGGTTTAACAACTGTTCTGCATGAATACATGGTGTAACTAATAAGAGAAACCACTGGAGGCCAGGGAACTTGAGGATTCTGTTCTTTCTGATCAATGTTTTACAGGCCTAAAACTACTCTAACAATAGTGCATTAATTTTTTTAAAAATGAGAAGGTAACATTAACCTTTCATCCTTTTTTAAACATCATTTTAGTTTATTTTCTTCCTTCATCTGTATCTTTTTCACTTTGATTAATCTCAGCAAAAATGTATGTCCTTAACCTACTTCATACCATATATAAAGAATTCTAAATTAAAGAGCTAAATGTGAAAAAAACTAACAAAATTTCTGGAAGGCAAAGTAGGAGGATATCTTAATAGCCTTGAGTTAAGCAAAGATTTCTTAAATAGGGTATAACCACTAATCACAAATAAACCCATTGATAAAGCAGACTAAATTAAAATTATGATGTCTGGTAGGTACCATTGAGAGAATGAGGAGGCAAGACCGAGTGGGAAAAGACATTTGGGATTGTGTGTGTATCTGAATGCACTTATCTACAGATAGATATATCTTTAAATACAACAAAACAGCAACAGAATAAATGAAGTGGAATTGTCATTTGAGATACTACATAGCAACGAGAACAAATGAACTAGACTAATTCTCAGCAACACTGATAAATTTCATAGACATAATGCTAAGTGGAAGGAGCTAGTCACAAAAAAGCACATACTTTAACACTGTTTATGTAAAGTTCAAAACCCAGCAAATAGCTGGGCGTGGTGGTGCACGCCTATAATCCCAGCACTCGGGACACTAAGACAGGAAGATCACTGTGAGTTTGAGACCAGCCTGGGCTACATACTGACTTTCAGGTCAGTCTCAAGTACATAGTGAGACCCTGTCTAAAAAAACCCAGCAAATACAATCAATGGCAAGAGAGTTGATATGCTCACTGTTGCTTTGGCCATGGGAGTGGGAAGAGGAGGACACAAAGGGCTGGTAATAAAAAATGGAAGGTTATAAGGTATTTGGTATGGTGATATTCTATTACGTTCTGAGCAGTGACACTCACTTTGTGGAAATGTATGGAATAGTACACTATGTAAGGAAAAACTCTGTTTTTTCTGAGTGGTGGTGTAATTTATATACTCTGTGAAAATTTCTCAAATGGTTCAGTAGTGACTGTGTGCTTGTTGGCATGTGAGTGACACTTTAAAAAAATCATAGCCACTTAATATTCTTGACTATTTGCAACTAAAATGTATGTGTGATGTGTATTAAGAATTACCGATATGTTACTTGTTCACCAGAAGTGTAAATAAATACAAACTGTGCAAAAAATATAAAATGACATTTCAGTAACTTGGGATTGGAATAGAAGATACAATGTAGCAAGTGCAATGGATATGATCTTATTGAGGGAACATTTTAGAGATGAAAACATCACCCCACATACTAGGGTGCAGGCAGAGTTCAGTTTCGCTCCAGGATGTGGCAACTCTCAGCTGTGACTTCTGCTGTGCCAGCTCACAACTGCACATCACAAATGGACACTGGGCAAGGAGAGCAGTACAGATGCTGGCTTTCCTCATTTGACGGGTATCTGCAGCAAGGTCTGGCCAAAGGAAGCTAGGGGTAGCTTTCGATAGCTTTGTCCAGACTGCTTTTGATATAAAGAAAAGAAAATTGCCTACTGATGTTTTAAAAAGTTGAAATTATAGCTCTCAAATATCTATTTTCTTCACACAATTTGTCTTTCTCTTCCTATCATAGAGAAGCAGTGGCCTTTAAATGATAAAATAAAATGATAAGTACTGTTTTATCTCTTTTTTTCAATCATTGTGTCTTATAGTTGCTTAGCTTCAAATTTACCCAGGAATAAGTTTCAATGTAGAAAGGATAAGGAGGCACAGGGTATAGGAGAAAAGAGCAGTGCCCAGAAGTTACATAATACCCCTCAACCTTAGTGCTTCCAGTATGGGTATGAGCTTAGGTAAGCCTGGGGCTCTAAAATAAATTTGTAAGCTCTTCTTCTAATGCGAAAATGACATGCTCTACGTGCAATTTTGTGAATTTAAACATTAACATAATCTTATCCTCAAATTTTAGTGAAAGTTATGAGTGAATGGCACAGAAAAATGTACTGCAGGGCTATTTTTCTTTTCACCCTCCAGCA